CTGGGCACCAGGTGGGAGGCGGGAAGCATAGGGAAGGGCCTGAGGTCCCTGGAGGTGCACCTGAGGGAGGGCGAGCAGGTGGCCATGCGGGGGTGGGGTGGGGTGGCGGTGCTGTCGCAGAGCACCACTCCAGGCCCAGTGGCTGGTGTCAGGGTGAACAGATCCCACACACTGCACACCTGGGCACTGACCTGGCCCACAGCTGCTAGAGAGAGCAGAGTGCTGACCAGGGAGGCTGAGCCCTGGCCTGGGCCGAGGCCATGAGTGGGTCCCAAAGAGCCAGGTGTGTTGGATCAGGGACATTTAGCCCAGGAAGCCAGGGAGGAATGTGGGTGTGGTTGGGCCTGCATGGAAGGCTGGGATTGGAAAAAGCCCCTTGGAGGACCTCAGGACAGGACCTGCTGGCAAGCAAGACGGAGTCCCCCCGCCCCCTACTCCAGCAGGTCACCCACCCTTGACCCCTGGCATGAGCGCCCAGCACTGGAGTTTGTGGCCACAGAGGGAGCTGCACCTGCCCCTGGGAAAGCTGAGGGCAGAACAGTCTCCCCCCAGCGCCCCAGGGACCCCTCAGGAGTCTCTGTACCCACCTGAGGGCATGCTGCTTCCTGACAGCACAGGTGTGTCCCCACTGTGTCCACACCAGCACCGTGAGTGCACCCTGGGGCCAGCTGGTCCCACTGTGGATGCACCCCCACCCTGGGGGCTTCTTTCACCCACAGTCAGGGCAGCCTTGGAGAAAGAGCTATTTCTGACACCTGCCCCATCACAATGCCCCCTAGGAAAGCCCAGCTAATGGGGACAGTGATGCCCCAGGGGCTCCCAGGAGCTCAGGAGGACTCAGACACTGACTTGTCAACTCATGGAAGGAATTCCAGGCTGCCTGTCCAGCTGCACTTGGAGAATCGTCCCTCTGTTTGTCCCCCACCCCTCCCTGCTCCTGGCATCCCACCCCCGCTCACTGCCTTTCTCTGGTGAATCCCAGGCCCCTGTCCTCCTCCGCTGCCCTCCTCCGCTGCCCTGTCCTCCAAGAGGCCCCCGGCTGACCCTACCTGTGGGAAGCCATCCCCCACCCTGTCCCCCAGCCCATTCCCTCAGAGCCTCTCTCAGGGCTGGTGGAAGGTCTCTTTCTCTTCTCAGAACTCTCTTGGCCGCCCTCTCATCTCCCACTCCTTTCTGACTCATGCATACATCCTCCCTGGCACCCAGTGGCTTTGCACATTAATATTTGTCAAATGAAGCAGCAAATAAGTAAGACAGCCATATCCGGCTTTCTCAGTGGCCATTCTGCCTGGGAGTGAAGCAAGTGTGCCTCACACTGTCCTGCGTGGAGTGGACAGATTGGGTGCCAGGGTCACGAACCACTGCGGACTCCCCTCCTCCTCTGGAAGAGCCGCTGTTAGGACAAATGAAGATGAACAGGCACGTCTGTGCCTCAGTCAGGATCCTCAGCTGCACGCAACAGAAACCACTGGGGCTGGTGTGAGTGGTGGAGGATCTGGTAAAGGGACGCTGGTGGCTCCCAAGTCCCCAGGAGGGTCTGGGAAGTGGGGTCTGCACAATCGCCCTGCAGAGCCAGTCCCCGTGGGGAGGCCGAGCTGCTCCTTCTGGCGGGGTCCCCAACAGGCGAGGGGAGTGCAGGTGCAGGGGCCAGAAACAATGACAGTGATCCCTTCACCCCAGGCCACAGGGTGTCCTTCCCTGTCATATTTAGGTCAGTCTCCTGCAGTCCCCTGGGCTGTCCAGAGCAGCTGCCTGCCCCCAACCTACTGGGCCTTCCTGTCCTGCAGCCCAGCCAGTTCTAGCTTCTACCACCCACGCAGCCCCCTGTCCTGGTCTGGCTGCAGGGCTGGTCCGGTGGCCTTGACCCTGGCCTGGCTCTGGGCTGGTCTCTCCTGGATGCATCCCCCACCTCTCTTAAAGAGCCACTGTGCCTCCCAAGGGGCGGGACTACCATGCCCAGCCCATGTCCCTTGCTCCTTAGGGACAGAGCCCTCCCCGACCAATGCTGCCCGTTCTTTCCCGCCCTATGCGAGCCCAGAGTCCCACAGCTGGGATGAGGCCAGGGGCAGCCGTTCAGGCAAATCTGGAAACCTGTTTCATTTTTTAGGTACAGGCGAAGAATGCTTGGGTTTTTCTTAAACGAGACTGATGTGGTTTCTTTCCTTGGAGAGAGAGGTAAACATCAAAGTTTTAAAACAGAATAAATTGCCAAAGTTTTAAAACAAGCCATTCAGGGCCCAATAGCTTCCATTCCTCTGTGTGACTGCAAATGTAATCATTCATAAATCATGTCTTTAAAAAGCTGTGTGCAGAGGTTGCTGGGTAGACGGCTGCATTCCTCACTCCGCACTCGGCGTGTTAAGACAGGAACATTTCCTCGAGCTGTGCATAAGTTAGGAACTCGGTGTTGCTTGGCGGAGTTCAGAGCAATGGCCTCCCTCCCCACAGCAGGCCAGCGCCCCTGAAAAGAGCATACATAGCAGGCACCCCAAAGGTGGAGGGCCCCTCAAGCAAAGTGAGAGAGTGGGGACAGAACTACGGGGCAGCCGGGCCCCCCATAGGGGACCCCTGGACTCAGCTCATCAGATGTTTGGACAAAGGAGACAAGGGGCACAGAGCGGATGGGTCTCAGACTCAGCCGATGCACTTGACGTCCGTGTTTGGTCTGTGCCACACGGGGCAGGAAAGGCCAGTTCTGTAGCTGTGTATTTTAGATTTGTAGAGAGAGAAGCTCAGACCCCATCACTGTCCTCCTCCCAGCTGGGGTGGTGGCTAAATGGAGAGTGCAGGTCAGGTTCTAGGACAAGTTCATGCAAATTCCTGAAGCCTGCCTGCTCCCCTCCCAGCAGCCAGTCCAGGATGCTGATAGCTTCAGCTCACAGGCCACGTCCTGGCCTAAGTCCCTTACATCCATTAGCCTATTTATTTTGAGACAGGGTCTTGCTCTGTTGCCCAGGCTGGAGTGCAGCAGCACAATCATGGCTTACTGCAGTCTTGACCTCCTTGGGCTTAGGCGATCCTTCCGCCTCAGCCTCCTGAGTAGCTGGGACCAGAGGCACATGCCACCACACCCGGCCAATTTTTCTATTTTTTGTAGAGATGGGGTTTCCCCACGTTGCCCAGGCTGGTCTTGAACTCCTGGGCATCGTCCCACCTCAGTCTCCCAAAGTGCTGGGATTACAGGTGTGAGCCATGGTGCCTGGCCACTATTAGCCTATTTAATCCTCGCAAATAACCCTTACGGCAGGGACAGAGGGGCGCAGACAGGTTAAGAGTCACACAGCCCAGGAATGGTAAAGCCCAGATGCAATCCCTGGCACGCTTATCTCAGAACACGTGGGAGGCATGATGAGGTCAGTAACCTCTTGTGGAGACCCCAACAGCAGCCCCAAAGGCTGTGGGTGACCCATGTCTGTGGAGGCCCTGAGACCCTGGGCCAGGAGCCCCGGCTGAAGACGGGCTTCCTCAGGGTGTCTGCCTCCCTCAGGCTTCCCAGGAGTGGCTTCGGGGGGCTCTCACTGGGCACGCGTGAGTCCACGACC